ATTTATTATTTTGTGAGGAAAAATTGGTTAGCTATCATTCTTGAACTAATCTATGAGATATGAAAATTCTAAAATGTTTTTCAGTCAATAAAATTCTCAATGAATGATTTATAAATAAGTCAATTAAAATGGATTCCGAAATATTTTTTCGTTATCAAATTTTAATTGCAGTGGTAAAGTATTTACAGTGCATCATTCAGAAATGTTGTTTTTATTGCCTATTATGTTTCATCGACTAAAAATGAAACCAAAAAATAAAACCAAAAGAATTTTAGCATTTTTTTTGTACACGTTAACATCTTGCTAAAGTGAAAAAAATTCAGCTCTTACTTTTTCATCTAAGTTGAAAAACTTTGCAAAGTGCAGGAAAAAGTTCTTAATTTTTTTGATCTTCATTTTATAACTGCAAGCCAATTCTGTGATTTCAATTTTTGTCAAAGGAAAACATATGTCTTAATCTTTTCACTTACTCCCACTTCGTTAACTTTCGATTTAATCGCAATTAGCTATTTATATGTGAAAAATTAAGTTAGTTTATTGGCTTTAGTGAATAAGCTAGCAAGATTGACTTCTTCCTTGATTTATAAAACCCTTGTTTTGTTACAAAGATTTTATAAATCTTTCCAACAAAAAGTTTTATAAATTTTTGTTTTGTTAAGTATTGTGCTAACGTTGCAAATGTTGGTGTTTTTGTCTCTTTAACTTCAATCAGTGAAAATTTGAAGATAAGTTTGAAGTTTCTTATGTTTTACATTTTAAAATAATTCGTTGGTACTTCTTAATTATGAATAAATGATAACAAGTGTGCACTTGTTGGATAAGTGATAAGTAAATTGTTTTTTTTAAATTCACGAGTATATTTTGATTATTTTACTCTCCGAAAGCTAACGCGATGCATTCATCAGTCATATATTACTTTGAATTTTTGTTAAATGTAACGAGAAATTTGTAAAAAATATTAAAGTAATAAAACAAGAACGTAAGAATTTATCGATTGTGAAGTCTTCTTTTTTTTCGAGAAGAATTCATATATTTTGTTAAATTAATATCAGGGACAAATACACACACACACGAACGTATTTTAACCTCAGTAAGTTAAGCGCAAAAGTAATTTTTATTGATCTAGCAATCATAAAACAGATATTTTACATCAAAATTATAATTTAATATGTTCAAACGTTTATTAATTTCTAATATAACAAAGAGAACTGAAAGTTTATTTGGGTCGTACAACATTTCCAACTATATCTCCTCGATGATTGCATAGCTTTTAGCCTGTGTATAAATTATTTAAGCGGCATGATTGTGCAGTTGTTTAACTTATAAATGCAAAAATTGAAGTGCATCGAAAAATATATTTTATGGAATATACGTTTGCTTGAAATGATGATAATAATGATAAGAAAGAAGTTTATGACAATAATATCATTTCATACATATTTGAATTCATATCTTTTACCTCATTAATCATTAATCATGGTTGTTTGTCGAAGTATTGTTTTGATTTGATCAGTAAATATCATCTGAAAATTGTAATTCTTGTCATAATTCTCCCGTTTTTCCATTATTACGTGTGGAACGCTATTCAAGAAATATTAACAATATGATTGAAACAACAATTGATCATTCAGTTTGATATTTCACTCGATCACTCAAATTACAACTCAGTAATGAAGAAATTCGTAATGGTTGCTGGTTTGCTTAAATGCTAAATATCATTTGTCGAAATTTAAAAAAATTTTCAAATGTGGCACCATCTGTTCCTGTAATGAATGAAATTCGTCATCAGTCAATTATAACATTCAATTTATAAGCATTTTTATACATTTATATAAACATGCGCCAATTAGTGATATTACAATTTCGTTATTCATTGTTCATCTTTTTATGTGATCGAAAATCTGCGGTAAAAAATTTGTGTCAAAATTCTTAACTTTTTTCTATTTCCTCCAAATTTGTTTCAGCATTTTATGGTATGTTTTTGGTTGATGAAACTGTTTGCATGCTAATAACATGCTAATAAGCGTGTAATTGCATATCTTTCATGAAAAAACAATTTGATAGTAAAATTTGTTTGCTGATTCTGTTTGTTGATTCAATTGTTACTGATTATTATGTAATTTATTTAAAATTTAAATAAAATATTGTAATAAATGTTAATTTGGTGTATATGATAATTTCCTCTTATTTTATGCAAATTTATGAGATATGTAATGAAATTAAATTTTGATGCATTTCAGTGAATAACAATTAATTCGCTTTGATAACTAGCTGTACTTTCGTAGTGCTTCAAATAATTCTAATTGATGTTTCATCGAAATTTCTATCGCCGTTTTGCAAGCGATAATAATGCGATTTGGGCTATTTTGATCAATAGCATGCAATTTCGATTTAATCGAAAACTCCGTCGGCTATTTTTAATTTCATTAATTTCAACATCTTTAATAATATTTTGGTACATCATGTATATTCCACTTCATTTAATATCTTTTTATAATAATCTCTCACGAAATGCCGGGTCAGAGGGCATCATCATACGTGAAAATACAACCAAAATTTTGAATAATGGCAAACAACAACTGATAAAAAAAGCTTATCAGATATTCTATCAAATTCAATCATTCATTAAACAGATCCTAAATTCGGCACAAGAAACTTTGTCATTGCTAAAATGGCATTTATTTATAAAATTGAATTTACGAAAAATTCCATTACTGATGAACTATACGAAGAACGTAACGGATGATACGTTATTCATCTATAAAGCATTTTTGGATTTACGACAAAAGGAACCATTAATTCGTATTTTGGCATTCAGTCAATGTCGTGATATTAACATTATCATTCATTATCATTTACAATGTATATCAGCAAAAGATATTACGATAGAATATGATTGCCCATGGAAATGGGTACCGGAATGTAAATGGTTCTCCTTTATGCTCATTTTCAATATGAGAGATACCAATTTTTCCATCGATACTGTAAGTTTTCAGAATAACTAATCATTATCATATCACGTATACTTTCATAAATGCGGTGCTAATTTTCAAAACATTTATGCGTTTCATCAAAATGCAAAAATTATTGAATAAATAAACATTTTTCTTGGAAGAAAAAAAAAACTTTAATCGAACTTTATTGTACAATATATATATATATATATATGCAATAAATAAATGGAAAATTATAAATTAGAAGTACATTTGATTTTTTTTTAAATTTAGAAAGAAATAATGATGACTGAAGGAAATCGTTCAGTTGTTGTCCCGTTGCAATCAATTCCTCGAGATTATCAAGATATTTTACATGTTTGTGTGCCACCTCTTTACTGGTACTGGAATTATGTTGCATTTATACAATTCATTGAAGTATGTAACTTTTATATTTTATTTTGTTGTATTTTAGAATTAGCTTACTTTAAACCAATTAATAGAATAGTATCGAATTAAGCTAACTTTAAGATACAGCAAAATTCTTTAAAACTTTTTCTTTTATTTATAAAATCTGAATCAAATTATTGTTTTTGTATTGGTATGTTTTAAATTTATAAATTCAGAAATATTCTTGCTCTTCTTTGCATATTTGTTATTCAAAAAGTGAAAAGTTTTATTTGAGTGTGTAAAATCAATATGATTATTTAGTTCAAATATTATATTTATATAATTTAAAAAATAATTTTAAGATTTGGAGGAAGGAAGGAGCTACATTGTTTTACATTTATTACGTATCGGTTAATCAACGCACAATGGACATTTTAAAAGTTTACGAAAAAATGGTAAGTTAATGCGAAGCTGTGAAATAACAAAATTAATGATTATATAAAAGTGAGATAACAAAATTAATTTCGACAAAATTGATCGGTTATTTTTGAATATTATTATTTTCACCAGAAACATTTACGAAATGATATTAGTCAAAATATTACGGTTGCGTAATATTTTGCCTATAAGTTTTATCATATCTTTAGTAAACTCTAACTGAGTTATAAATAATTCCATTTTAACTTAATTAAAATATCCAAGGTTTCAAAAATTATTATTTCTCTCTTATTTTTCCACTCAAAAGAAAGTGACGACACAAGTTTATTTATTTTATTCATTCAATTTAATTAAAAAATTGTCTTTTCCAGGGAATTATTCGATTAATTCGATGGCAGATGTTACCACGATCGAAAATGATCGATCCAAATCGATGGATCTATCGTTTCGGTCATACACTTAGCATGAATGATTGTTTATACAGTTCATCAGCTAAATATGTTGCACTTGTTGACACCGATGAATTTATTATTCCAAAGTATGCATGAATTATTATGAATTATTAGCAACATTTTTTTCCATATCGTAATTTGTCACAAATGAACTTTGACATCTATTAATGTCATTTTGAGAAAATTTTTCATTTCTTCACTCTTTTGTAAAAAAAAAATTGTCAAAATTTAAAAAACTTCCTTCTCGAGTCAAATCTCTTTTAAATTTCAGCTCCGGAACGTTATTGTCATTTCTGCGTAAAATGCATAATTTAAATAACACGGCTGGAAGTTTCGTTTTCGAACATGCTCGAGTTCGATTTCAAGGATGGATTCGTTTGAAGCAAAAATTAAAATTTGATTTTACTTGGTTAAAAAATGCTGAATTTCAAATTCAGGAAGGTCCATCAAAAACGATTTTTATGCCCGAACGTGTGCAAATTTTGGTCACCCATAAAGTGCGCGAATTTTTTAAACCATATAAATCGTATAAAGTATGTTTCTTTTATTTACTCCTCAAAAATTGCATTTTATGAATATAATAGAATGATCAAATGGATTTTTTAATCTTCACTTTTAACATTTGTGTAAAGAATTCAATTTTTCATCAAATTTATGAATTCATTAAAGACACGAAATGCATTCAAAAGATTTAGCAAGTGAAACAGAAATGACTGAGACATTTTCTCACTTATCATTTCAATCTTTTTTTTAACAATAAAAATTGAATATTTTTCAGTTTTAAAATTTTAACAGAATGTCTTTCAGATAAATATCAATGATAGCTTATTATATCATGCACGTTCCAGTTGGATTTTTACAAGTTTCAATGATACCATTTATTATCCAACGAATATTTTTCATAAGTACATTACACTTCTAAATGAGCAATATCAAAAAATAATATCACAAGTATCGTGGCAAGCAAAAAATCTTATTCCTGTATGGAAAATTTTTTCGAAAATAATTGAAAAATGTACATCCAAGTAAGTTTTTTTAAATTTTAAGTTTTAAAGAAAGAAAAAAGAAAATTCATTAATTTATTCAAAAAATTTTTTCTTGTCATAAATAATTTTTTAAATAAAAATTTATTTCTTTCTTCATTTTTCTTTTTACACACAATACTATTATTATTTTAATTTTTATTTTTATTTTCACAGATGGCGCATGTATGGTTGCAAAGCGCCGTATCATTTATGTTGGAATGCGTTGAATGATAAAGATGACTGGATTTTTAGTCATATCAATGTTAGCAATCATTACATTTTGTTGTAAAAATTTGCCAAATTGAAGTAATTCATACTTTAATTTACTGATTGAAATTAATAAATTTCTTATATAATTTATTAAATAAGACAAAAATTTGTTCTATTAATTGAATAAATAAAGGAGGAAAAAAGCTGTAATGACGTAACCGCCAATATCAATCAATTCTTTCTCTCTAATACGGTAGGTATTTCAACTTTTAAATTTCTGTATAGCAAATTTATTTATGAATTTTAATTTATTATTACACTCATATTAGTCAATTTGATTGTCATAAAACTTCTGTGATCCTTTCACGCAAATTGATCAAGAAAAAATTCTTCAAATTTTAATCGATTTGAGCAAATATCATAATTCGGTTGCTTAGAAGTTTCAAAATTCTTAAAATGGCAAACAGTCAAACGAATAATACAATTATGATAAACATATGAAGCGGATGTAAAAATATAAAAGATTTTAAAACTGTATAAAATTTGAAAAAGGAACAGCAAAAAAGTTGTAAAATAATAATGAGATAGAAAATTGTAAACAAAAGATTTTACCGATCAATTGAAATTATTTATGAGAATCAAGTCAAAACAGAATCTTTCGTTAAAAAAAGTAACATAATTAAAAAAGTAATTGTTAACGAAAACAAAAAAAGATTACTAATCATTTAAAGAATGAAAAAAATTATAGCATATTTTCAAAATTTTTTTGCAAATTTTTGAAAATTTAAAATTGCTTGCTCCAAATGCTTAAATGAAAGACAACATTGTTTATAAATTTTGAAAATCTCTTCAAAATATCACCTTTATTAAATGGTATTAGAATTAAAGTAAAAAAAAAAGAACCAACTGTAGTTATAAATGAAAAAATAAAGGAGAAAAATTTCAATTATACAAAAATAACAGTGAAAAATTTCAATTGCTAATCTCCGTTAAAAATTTTAACAACTACACTTGAAATTAAAATGAACTGATAATTTTTTTGTTGAGTGCATACGTTAACATTCTCTTCTCGTACGTCCTCTCCCCTCCTTCACCCAAAAAAAAAAAAAAAAATGGTGTTTTTGTCATCGTCCTTCATTTCTTCCTGTTAGTCTTTTTCTCTGTTCAAAATTTTTGCAATTGTGAAGTTGGCTTTTAAAATTTATTTAAAAATTTAATTTTTTGGATAAATTCTTTGTATGTGCATCGGTGTATTTGTGAATGATTGGTGGATCACAAAAAACTCGACAAATTTATTTCAAAATGTAAAACGTTTTGTGTCGGTAGAATGTATTTAAACTAAAATCGATTAATTTAGTTTTTTTTTTCTTTTTTTAAATAAATATACACTAATGCATAACACGTACTTTTAATTACTTAATTTACTTTAATTAGATTTAGGCAGTTTTAATTTTAGTATTGTAAAAAGTTGAGGTTAAGATGTAATTTCAGAGAGTTGAATCTATTTTATAGAAAATTAATGATCACATGAGAGATGATGTCTGATTTGTCTTATCATTTGATTATTTGAGCTAGTTGTTACATATTTATTTTTTAATGGGACTGAATAAGCGATAATTTCATTTTTAAAGGTTTACAAGAAAGAGGGAAAGGTAGCATTCATTTGGACGATCTGATGGTAATTGTGAACTAAAAGCAATAGGATATTTTATCTTTGTTTATCCGCAAAGAAATTTCTCTCTCTCTCTCTCTCCATTTCTCTCTCTTTCATCTTTAATTAATAGTTATGTTAATGAGGAAGCAAACAAATTTAGACTTTCATCAATCGTTAAAATTTTACGAAGAGTATTTCAGCATCATTTTAAAACAATAATTGTTGAAAAGATTACAAAATTAAATGCGAATCATTTTTCTGTCAAAATAAAAAAAAAAAAACTTTTTCCTAAAAATAACTTTTTTTGAATATTATTAAAGAAATTTTTTTACAAAAAGCATTCTTAAAGCTTTCAATTCTGTCTTTTTCCGTAATTCTCAATGCGGTACTAAAAAACATTGGAAATTGCAGGAAAAAACTTGAGCTAAAATAGCTTTCATGTTAATAGAACTTTTATGTGGTACAATGCGGATGATTTAACATCATTTTTTTATAACAAATTCGAGGTGAAAGGTCATTTTCTTTTTTTATTAGGCATGAATATTTTTTCCTGCTTTGCATCATCACCGTAGCTAATTTAAAATATTAATGTTAAAAAGTATTTCTTCGAATCGTTGATGCTAGCATACGGTAAAAGTTAAATTTTGAAAAAAAAAATTGGAAATTACAAATAAAGTGGAAGAAGAAATGACATCAACTTTGCAAACGATTCTCCGGTTTTTTCCTATAAAGTCTTCGCTGCCCAGTAAATAGTTTTTTTTTTTGTTTGAAATTTAAAAAATTACAAGTTTTTGTTTTGCTTCGATTGTGTTCCATTTCCTTTTAGTATTTCTTGAAAGCGTTTATAAAAAGATATTAAAATTGTTCATTTCCTCATCTCTTTAATTTTAATCTGACGTTTATCATTCATTGGCTCATTACAATCATTTAATTTGCTCCTTCCTTCTCCGCTTTCATCGAACCCTCATTTTTTTCAATTTCTACGAAAAGCTTTAACATTTCAAAAATTACTATTCAATGTACCCTTTTATCACTCAAAACCAATTTCGCTTTTTCTTCTCTTTCAATTAATTTTAGAGTGATAATTTTTTTGTAATTTTTAAGAAAGATAACTAATTAGGAAGTTATTTATATTTTTCTCAATAATCCTTTTAAATTGTCAATAATTTCAGTAGGATCAGTCACTTGCCATTTATTAGATTTGTAATTATCGTAAATAAAATAGTAAATAAATGAAATAGTTTCCGCAGCTCGACAACAATCATAAAATTCATTCTTAATGCACTATCTGAACCATATCCAAAATTTAATCATAACTTTAACTATCATCAATCAGCAAGTAAGTTACATTGATCAGAACTAAGTTCTACTGATCTTCGCATGATCAATTGCCTCACATTTAGTGAGGCGAATTGATTTATTATTTTGTGAGGAAAAATTGGTTAGCTATCATTCTTGAACTAATCTATGAGATATGAAAATTCTAAAATGTTTTTCAGTCAATAAAATTCTCAATGAATGATTTATAAATAAGTCAATTAAAATGGATTCCGAAATATTTTTTCGTTATCAAATTTTAATTGCAGTGGTAAAGTATTTACAGTGCATCATTCAGAAATGTTGTTTTTATTGCCTATTATGTTTCATCGACTAAAAATGAAACCAAAAAATAAAACCAAAAGAATTTTAGCATTTTTTTTGTACACGTTAACATCTTGCTAAAGTGAAAAAAATTCAGCTCTTACTTTTTCATCTAAGTTGAAAAACTTTGCAAAGTGCAGGAAAAAGTTCTTAATTTTTTTGATCTTCATTTTATAACTGCAAGCCAATTCTGTGATTTCAATTTTTGTCAAAGGAAAACATATGTCTTAATCTTTTCACTTACTCCCACTTCGTTAACTTTCGATTTA